TCAGTGAATCTGAGTGAATGGGGAAGACTGTAATAACTTACATACATTAGATAGTTAGTGTATGGACATTATATGCATGTTTTCTATGTAGAAGTTACAGCCTGCTTAGACTTACCTTTTAACAATACAAGATACTAAGTCACAGATATGACCAGTTTGTAAAACACGATGCATATTGTTGGAATTATACCAAACGCTATATAAAGTAGTAAAAGTTGGCTCTGCCTTGACCAACTAGTAACAGTGGTAAAATGCTTCCCATTAATGCTTCAGTATGGACTGTCTGGTTGAACAGCAGACATTTTGATATTGTCACAGCATGAAAAACACAGTTGGACTTATAACAGTAATAAAATAACAGTAACGATGGCTCTGTGACAGTGAAAAAGCATGCAACTCTCCTAAGTGGACCTGTAGCAATCATTAATATGAGGTATGTGTGTATGTATAGACAAATCATTGTATTTTGTGTTTATGTTTTCATTTTTCACAATGCTCACTCTGCTGTTTTCTGATAATAAAGAATATATATAAAAAAGAAATACAAATAAAAATGTGTACTGTGCAACCAGCCCATTAACAATCTAAAATTAACATAACTAATTATAATAACTTATTTGCATATAAAACCTATAATAAGCATTTCAAATCTGAGGCATTGCTATAGTGTAAATAAACCAGCCAACAACATATTTGCTCCAGCACAACCATTCAAATGCATCAGTAACCAATAATATAATATTTACAGTGGTAGAAAAAGTATTCAGATCTTTTACTTTACTTACAAAAGTAGCAATACATCAGTTTGTGTAGAAATACTCCATTTAAAATCATTTAGTGACAGTAAAGCTTGTGCCTTCAAACCTTTGGCAGGGAAGAAACAGAAGTGATTTGGTGCCCCCTGTTGTCTAACAATCAAACAACAGGAACAGAATGTATTTTTATCAGTATCACTCTACAATTGCTTTCACACGCACACCGCACAAGAATCTGTGAAACGTCACGTATTGTCATTTGTTGTTCGGACTCGGACCAAAATACCGGGTTGTGTGTGTGTGTGAGTGTGTGAATACTCTGAGCTCAAACGGTACCAATGTTTTTATCGTCAGTAACAGCTGGATGCTACTCGGCTAGCAGGCTGTAGCAGAGCAGCCTCTGCAGAAGCTGTCAGATTGAATCCGCTCTGCAGGGCTGCAAGGATGATGGGTCACTGCCGGGTAAGTTACCTCTGGGATTCAGCTGCATGTAGTCGCTGTGACTGCATGGCATAAAGTTAAGTTAAATAACCAAGCTTTATACTTTGTTCAGACATAACCTGTTGTGTGTGCAGTGATCAGTGAGGATGAGGAGCCGCAGTAACTCAGGAGTGAGGCTGGATGGCTATGCCAGGCTGGTCCAAGAGACGATCCTGTGCCACCAGGTGAGTCCAGACATACAGAGCAGGATACAGGAGAGGAGTCAGTGCTGTGAGGTCAAGTGGCAAGGCTGGAGGAAGTATTTGGATCTTTTACTTAAGTAAAAGTAGCAATAGCACAGTGTTGAAATACTCTGTTACAAGTAAAAGTCCCCTAGGCAAGTGTACTTAAATCAAAAAATACTTAAAGTTATTATTATACAACATATGGCCCTTTCAGAATAATATACATTATATAACTGAATTATAATTATTGATGCATTACCACTTTAGCATCATTTTAATGTTGCAGCTGGTAAATGTAGGGATAATTCTAACTACTTTACATAGTAACGGGTAGCTTAATCTATAATAATACATCATAATCATTTGTTAATTGTATTTTGTGTTAATTATATCAGGTGTAGAGTCCTCTGTGTTCTCCTGCAGAAGTATGTAGGTGTTATGTACCCTGTATAGGTTCCAATTCAACCAGATTGAGCTGCATGGAAGTAAACAAGGCATGAGCAAAGTTCAGCCCCTGGAACAGGCTGAGGACCTTTATCTTTCAGCACTTGAGGTCACACTGAGGCGCAACAACAACTGTCTAAGTTTAAACTGTGACCCAGAGGGTTCATAATAGAAAACAGTGCCAACTTTCCTTACTGAGCATGTATATGCAAAGGTGGAGGTTTGTTTTTTAGGAGAGGGGACACAATGAAGTTATTGGTACTTCAACCAGAAACTGAAACTATGTAAATTCTTTATTATTCATGCACAAACCCAACCCAACTTAAAATCACACTCACTTTCATTGATAGAGACATAATACTCTGATAATGTTTAATTTAAATCTAAGAAGAGCTGTTCGTTTCTTGCCTTATCTTTCAAAATGTTACATTTTAGTATTTGTACGAGAATGTAATAACAACACATTGTCAGCAGTAAATATAATAAAGATTAAGTGATTTAGATTTTGTGCTTTTATATGTTTTTATAAAACAGCAAAATATTTGGCAGATAAATAGATAAAAAGAAAGAAATTGTTAGCGGCAGCTCTAAAGTTATTTTCTTCTTAAATAATTCTTGATTGGGTTTGAAAAGCTGAGAGGCGAGACCCAGGGCCATAAGACACGCTACAGCATACTGTAACAACCTAGAAGTACACCTTGAGAAGTTTTTATTTATCGTCAAACATTCTCTTACCTGAATTGTAACAGCTTACAGATATTTTCATGAGTACATCAAACAGAAACTGTAAAAGTGTTACAGTCCTTACTGTAAATTAAGCTGTTGTGTATTTGTTTCAGAACCCAGTGACAGGACTTCTGCCCGCCAGTGCCCAGATGAAGGATGCCTGGGTGAGGGATAATGTGTACAGTGTGCTGGCTGTGTGGGGGCTGGGCATGGCCTACCGCAAGAACGCTGACCGCGATGAAGACAAGGCCAAGGCCTACGAACTGGAGCAGGTGTGTTTGTTTCAGAGAGAGAGGGTTAATGAGTACAGCAGTGTTTGTTTGTTCTACATTGTATGTTGGGTTAAATATTTAAGAGCAGCAACCTTTATGTGTGCACCACCTCACATTATTTGATTAGTTTACAGAAATGTAGGCTGCAGTTAAACTAAAATCTCACATTAAACCAAAACAGAATATCTCTTTCTCAAACTGATGTTTAAAACAAAAAAAAATTCAGGGGAATATAAAGTATGATAAAACAAAAATGTTAAAGATCTAACTTGGTAGAATAATTAAGTCAGTGCTAAAAAAAGGGTCATTAATAAGCTGGTTGATTGAGATAATGAATAGATAACCAGTCTGTGTAAGAAATTAAACTTGAGTGATAAAAAAACATTTGTATCATATTATTATAAATTATATAAGAGTGGCTGTTAGAGTAAGTAGCAAATTAAAAACATCACTTTAGTTCTTTGAATCATTTTATAGATTGAATTATTAATAACACATCAATAAATGCAATACATTATTTGATTGCTCTGAAATAAAAAATAGTGGTGCATTGCTTATTTTAATCATTTAATATTCACTTACTGTTGTATGTACTAAGGTGCCTTTGAACAGTTATGCATTCACTTACTGACGTACACACTAAAGTGCATTTGGGCCGCGATATGAGTGCTTAGAGTGAACTAACTACAAATATTTGAACTGAACTGAACATAGTGATTCAAATCAGCTAATGGATTTCTGATTTCCACCTCTACTGAAAATAAAAAAAAACATTTGTATTATTGTGACATTCTGTTTGATTTCTGTAGTTAGCTGATGAAGCTGTTGTTGTTTGTTGGCAGAGTGTGGTGAAACTGATGCAGGGACTTCTGCAGTGCATGATGAGACAGGTAAGACCCACACAGGCTCACAAGAAGTGTTAACATGCTCACTTGTGTTTGCACATACAAACATCATATCCTGGTAGAAAATCCGATAAACCTGTGTTCTGGTTCTGGGAAACCACAATATGTTATCTCTGTATACTCTGGTATTTAAACAGACTCTTTTATGTACACAGCATGTTTCTGACCACAGTTCTGTCTGTGCAGGCATGCCAAACTCAGGTGAATACAGGTAGTTAGTCCGAAAAATAAACTTTCTAATGATTACCAACATGTTGGTGATCTAAATGTTAACGTGAAAGTGATAGTGAAAGCCTGGCTGCAGTGACATTGTGTATTGTTTGTTGATCTCACCTTCCGATTACTGGAAATAAGATGAAGATGCCAAATTCCCAGCAGAGAGTGGAAATGCTGCAGTGCTCAGGGAGTCATAAAGCCAAGAGGCTTTGTCCTTTTCTGCTTAGACACTCAACAAAAAGACAAATGTCAACCACTGAGGGGTCTGAGTTTTTATGCTAATCCTGCCATATCCCTTCTTGGTCCCTTCTGGCACGGACAACACAAACACTGAGCTGTCCATTGGTGTGTGCGTGTGTATATTGCATTTGCAGAATAAAAGAATTTGCATGTTCATGTGTCTTCAGGTGGCCAAGGTGGAGGAGTTCAAACGCACGCAGAGTACAAAAGATTGCTTGCA